TGATCTCAGATTCCAGTAACMATTTTCTTTTCAATTCTTGGATACTCACAGGAAGCTGACTTCTTTTCTATAGACAATCAGTTTCTGAGGGAATCTAATAGGTTGGGGACACTTTCTAGAGGCAATGCTGGAATGCTGTTTGCTGTGCAAGTAGGTTATTTAAWCTGGTTTGATTACTTGGCTGGCATCCCAGTATTGTACAGATAAAGTATATATGTAAGCAAGACTAAAACTTAATTAGAAGCCCAGCCCCAAACCTACTGTAATTACGACCCCAGTATATTTGATGTAGTACAGAACTGACTTCCCCCTCTTTATCTGTTTAGGGTTCTGTACAAATAAATTCAAGTTTTTCTCCAATATAATCCTCAGGCATCCTTGTTCTCCTTGCCCTTTATGTCCTGTTAAAGGTGATAAAGGCTTTCTATGATTTCCTAAGCTTAGCTGAGACCAACGCCTTTCCTTCTGTCCTGTAAGAAGGCTGAGGGTACAGCAGGTCTGTGTAAAAGGTCACAGTTGTGTTGTGCTCACACAGATGCAATGGGAATGAAGGAGCTGGCTGGCAGATTTTTATCTAYAACCCTTAGTGAAAGCTGTCAGCCTCCCTGTAAAATGGGTGATGGGAAAAGAAGCACATTCTAACCAYGAGATTTGATTGTGCATGACTTGTCCATGAATTTATTCCATACCCCATTATCTTGGCTGTGGCTGCTTTCATACACACACAAATCCATGCCTGGTGACCCACACTGGGATTAGTCCAAAACTCTGTTATGCTTTAAACTGGTGTCTTGGGGAATACAGAGGGGACTGGTGAGGAAGGAGCAGTTGGGAGAGCAGGTTGTGAAACCAAACTAAGCCACTTTCTTCCAGCATTGTTTTAACCTTGGCAAAGGAAGGAAAACTTTGGTCTATGCTTGAATCAATTGTTGGAAACTKTAATATATGCTTGAATTTATTCTCTGTCACTTGCATGAATATGCCAGATGATGCCAATTAGACTCACTGCTTTTTACAGTAAATCTCAATAAAACTTCAGGTTTTTAATATAATCTTGAGAGACCCTTAGGAGAAACAGTTTTCTCCAAATTCATTTGGAGTGAAACCGAGGTCAGTCAATTTGCACTGTCTCTGCCCTTTTTCAGAAACTGCAAGCACTTATGCCTGAAGATGGTCTAGAAGACTGTCAGCATGTATATTAAGTTCTTGCTCCTTGCTTGCTTCTTTAACAAATATTCCCAATGCCTAAGTTCCCTAAAATACAAATAAATATGAGCAGARGCCATGTTCTGAGAACAAGCTATCAAAAGACAATTTTTTCTTGTAATTTCAACGTGTTCTGACTTTTGTCACATCCTACTGATCTGAAATGGGTTGGAGGAGAGCCGATGTGATTTGGAAGCAAAGTTTGAACAGATTTTCCATGTCTCATCTGACACAGAGAACAGCCAAAGTGAGCTTACTGCAGTTCTGTGTAAAGTCAAAGAATGAATAGAATAGAATAGAAAATAGAATAGAATAGAATAGAATAGAATAGAATAGAATAGAATAGAATAGAATAGAATAGAATAGAATAGAATAGAATAGAATAGATCAAAACAGAAAAGGTATGGAAACACCATTGGTTCCCAAGCAGGGGATTTTCTTAACCCATGGTCTTTCCTTTCAAAGTAGTCATAATCACAAAGATAAAACATGCTATTTTAATATCTTCTTTGTTAAGTCCAGGATAGTATTCAAACACAAAAATGTCAGTGTAAACACTCTGCAATTGACAAATATTAGCATATCAACAAGGTATCCTGTGAAATCAAGAGCTGTAAGGTCACCCTCATGCTGTAAGTCTCATCAGAAGCATTTTAATACAAAAGCTGTAATCACAGAATTACTAGCTTTCAACCACTGAATTCCCTAAGAGAAGTTTCATAAYGCACAGGAGTGTAATCATATTTGATTTTCTTTATTGCTAACTCTGCATGGAGWTCTGAAAAATCACCATTAATCTAAGCCAGACAACATAGGTCTTAAATGAAAATGTAAAACAATATCTTAAAATTATGTTCATGCTGATTGCCAGGGGAAGAGAGAAAGAAAAGAGGGGGAACAAAAAAGTTCGACTGTCCTTTTTCTCTACTGTGTTTTCTGCAAAGGCAATGAAGCAGTCACCTGCTAAAAATAAAATGTGATTTTAAGTTTAGAACTTTGTTTATCTCGAACAAAACCTGATTGTCTTTTAAGAGGAAAGATAAGCATGAGAAGTTGGGTTTGGTTTTGGTCKTGCAAGACTTGGAAACTGACTGCTYGTAGCTTAGAAATCTCTGCCCCAGAAGAGTAAACATTTAATTGTTCTGAGAATTCTCAGACTTCAGAGAGCTTTACTGATATGCATGGTGTTATGATAGAGAAWTCCAGACTTATTTTTGGTTTACAAAAGCAATTGGAAAAACATATGAGTAATTGTTCTTGAAGAGTTGTTGCTAAATTTGACGCAGATGCAATGGAATTCAGATTGTTCTGAATATTTTAACAAAAAAAAAATACCAGAGTTATGCATCTGTTCAGAGTTTAGCATGCATTCAGGTTTGCAAAAGACAAAGGGGGAGCCCAGGACCACATGAATAAACAGCCTGTGTGTTCAGAGGTTGGTATTATTCTTGTCCAGGTASTGGAAAACTGCCTCTGGTTTCTTTGAGTCTCTGCTGGGCCAYGTGCACACATCTAAGCTTGGTTCATTGGACATCATTATGGAAACAACTTTTCCTTTGGTTACAGAAACACTGATGCTGCCAGGAAGCTGGTGAGTATCACACAAACACATCTCAGTTCAAGAGCAAAGACACAGTGTAATAAATACATTATATTGCTTTCAGAACAGCAAACCTAACAGTTCTTGTCAGACTATCATTTTTTTTGATCTCTTTCTGTAGAAAATGTCTSTGAAACATAATGTCTGACACTACTCAAGTGCAAGAGTTATAGAGGAATTTAATGCTATCAATTAATAAATCAAAAAAGAATGTCTCATCAATACTTTATTACTATATGTTAATTTTTCACAAAATTTGTCTTAACCTACTAGCTATGCTGAGRTTTAAACACAGGCCAGAATTTTTCACAAATAAAGGGCAGATTTATTGCAAAACTGTCAAAAAGGAGTCAAAAAGATGCATCAGTCTAGCTGGAGCGACTAATTAATGGATAGAGACAACTCATTGTTCTGTAAAATGTTACAACCATTTTGGTTCACGGTGGTGGGCCTTGTCATATGAAATTAGGAAAGTAATCTCAGAAGACTCGTTAGACTTTTGGTCTATACGAAGGAAGTCAGATGTAGAAATGGACCTGGAAATAATGGTAAACAAAATAATTTAAGTAAAGAACATCAGCAGGTGACAAAATCTGTTCATGTCTACTTATGGAAAAAATATCACCATGTCTGAATTTATCAGTTTTCTGGGTTTGCAGCTGCTGCAAGCTTTAAGCTCTCAGCCACACAACACAGGGTCTTACCCTCTTCATTCAAGTCTAATCAGCCTTTCCCAAAGAGATTATAACAGCATTATATTGGGTTAAAGGACAGGTGATGAGAGTAACTAAGGAAGGTAAAAACCATAAGCAAAGAGATTGAARGTTCTCTTGCTTTATGTAGTATTTGTTCTTGAGGTTTTCTAAACAGCTATACTGAAAGAAGGGTGGTAAATATTAAAGGAGAAGATTAAAGTCTTTCTGCCTGTGCATATTGAAAAGCACATACCCTGGCTTCAGACTTCAATTCCAATTCCCTCTTCTTTCCATGTAACAGTGAAGAAGCCAAAAATGCAACTTCCATTTCATTTTCTTTTTTTTTTTTTTTTTTTCTGCAAGTTCCCCTACAGGAACTGCAAAGGCTTTGACCTAGATACAATAATAATATATACATATTCTTTTTAACCTGCTTCCCTTTGGAGGAAGTGCCAAACTTGTAATTGTTTCTACTTCACCTCAAAAGCTGCTAACGGTAGCATTTTTGGAAGGGAGTGATACAGCTATTTCTRTCTATAAATACCAACAGCAAGCCTAGAAAGCCCTCGCTGCTCGCTACACAGCAGGTGATTCGTGTTACACCTTACCGGCGCTGGCAGTTCTCCCCAGCGCACTTTTACAGGGGAATGAATTCAAGACACGCAAGTGTGCACATGTGCATATGTACATTTATTTATTTACACAATAAATGTACATTTATTTATTTACACGTGTCCGTGTGTCCACCCGCACCCCCATCCATCTCCGTGCGAGCCGCCCCCGGGCCGTGCGGGCGGCAGGTGGCGCTGCGGGGCCGGGCTGCCCTCACCTCACCGCGCCGCGCCCGCCGCTCCGGGCCGAGCTCCCGGGGCCGAGGGGAGCAGCGGCAACCGCTCCCTTTGCCTTCTTGTTATCGCTTTGAGAACTCCGCCAAGTTCGGTCAGCCCGCCGCGTCCCCTGGGACTGCCGGGGATGAACGCCCGCTCCCGGTTGGGAGGACAAACAAAGCCATCCGGAGCCGGGCAGCGCTCACCCCCCGCTCCGCCGCGGCTCGGGAGCTCCGTACCCGCTGCCCTGCAGACATCGCCGGCAGGGCACGGCAGGAGCAGCTCCGTACCCGCTGCCCTGCAGACACCGCCGGCAGGGCACGGCAGGAGCAGCTCCGTACCCGCTGCCCTGCAGACATCGCCGGCCGGGCGGCAGGAGCAGCTCCGTACCCGCTGCCCTGCAGACATCGC